GTTCGGCGACTGGCTGTCGCCTCGAGCCCAAGCTCATTATCACAAATCTCGGACAATACAATCAGATCGAATGACAATTGTTTAATTACGCCTATGATAGGCTCTAGATTACGGTGTTAAAGGATTTTCCCGAAGTTCCAAAGGGAAGGCTCCGATGTTCCTTCATCTCTGACACATATATATACGTACATCCCTAACCGATCAAAATAAAGAACGATCGTATGCGACGTAATAGTAAGAAAAATAAAAACGAAATAATAGAAATACATACTTTAATGAAATAGTAAATATAGTAAATACAACATACCCTGTACCAACTAATAAACCGAGCAAGCCGCGAAGCGACTGATACAACCAAGAATAGCCTATAATTTCACAATTCGGTTATGGATAAACTAAGAAGAACCAATTAACCAAAAGTGACTCGCAAATTAATTAATAAATCACGATATAATACGATATTCAATTAGGATAACCTACAATTCGACAATTTAATCAAATCTCGCAATAACATCATGAATAATCCAAAAGGAAAGGAAAAAGGAATGGAACGATAGGAATACACACTTTTATAACAAATATGAAATATCGAACAATCTAATCTATAGCACATATGGACATACAAAACCACAATAAACAAAATATATCTTATATACAACGGGATATAAAATATATAAAACACCTAGGCATATTCTCACACTTCGACAAACCAGGCACTATTGTCAGAATCAACACACGAAACGTCACACACGAAACGTCAAGATTGAAGTGAAAGAGAATCCACGAACAGTACACTTGAACAAGTTAAAACTAACACATAATCGAAACAGACCACCAGAATGATTTCATGAGGCAACATAATAGGTGTTATATGGAATAACACTGCTTGTTGAATACTGCAGATAGTACCTAACTTAACCTAAACCTAAAAGAAAATGGAAAATTATTATGTGCGTTCTAACCATTATTTAAATATAAAATGTGTTAATTGAATAAAATAATTAAAAGCAGTGAAAGTGAAAGGTACCTAGTGCACGATTAATCATCGTAGAAGAAAGTGTACATGAAGGAAGTGAACTCCACAAGGATAGGCTACAGATTCATTTTGTAAAACATACGACGTTCAGCTGAAACAAATGGATAAGTTAATCTCAATTGCACTAATATTAAATATTTATAACAACATTAAAGTTGAATTAAAAGAAACAAGGATAACGGACAATAATTGATCCCCGTCAACAACATTTACAAGATAACAGGATTTACGGTTGACCATTGGAAAATTTTAAGAGCATTTTACTCACAGGTATGAAGATACCGAAGGTAATAAATACCAAGGTAACTATTCATAACCTAAAAAGGGGAAGAATGCTGTAAACCACGTTGAAGTAAAAATTGATAATAGTAAGAAGCTCATTACTCACATCGGAAGGTATACATTACAGCCGACGCAGTTGTAAGAAGCCTACTACCAAATTTAAATGAATACTTACGGAATATTGAATCAGATACTACCACAACAGTCACGACGGCAACAGGAAACTGAAAAATCAAGGAAAAAATTGTGACACTATAACAAAATAATCCAATGCTAACGAAGCGGTCTTAGTAAACAAGATAGTGGACAGACTATTTTACTATGTAGTTATTTACAAAATTTTATATATATCTTTTATATATATCTATATATATACTTACAATTCTAGGATAAGTAATAGTCATAATAAGTGTTGGAAATGTAGCGAAGAACCAAACGCCCACCATGTAACTGTTCCAATTAAAGGATTCAGCGTTGAAGGATTAGAATTGTAGAACCTATAAACAATAAAGATTTTAATTAATAATATATAGATTAGCTCCAAAATTATACCATACAGATATGAAATAACGGCAAAATCACAAGTATAAAGTAACAACAAACTAATAAGAAAGAAGTAGAAACAGCCAATAAAATAGGAGTAGGTTAGAAATTAATCAAGACCGATTAACCGAGTATCAACGATAAACGCGAGTAAGATAAGAAGTTATTATATTGTACTAAGTTATAGTATAATTGTATTAAGTCTGAGAGGCGTAGAGAAATAAGATTATGTTATGCAGTAAAATTGGTAATAATACACTACGCACATATTAGTATTAAATTAATTAAGCGAACACTTTATAGAAATAAACTACTCAAAACACAATAATAAAACAGTGCTATTGATAAATTATAAAATTTAACAATAACACAATCCATATGTTATTATATTAAAATAACACATAGTATATATATACACATTATAATGAGTACACAAACAATACTATTGTCATATTAAAAAATTCTAACTGCGCTAAAATAGAGGAAAATAAGCGACGGACGAATAATTATTTCACTATTAAACAAATTAAGGACGCGTCACTATACTTTTACTGGAGACATTCACGACCGGCCATCTTGGATTGTCATGAACATAGGATAGCTCTACACGTGCGCATCGGAATACATGCAATAATTACACACATTAAATAAATGCAAAACAATATTATTTTCACTTCAATTATACGTCAACTACTAAAATAAAGTTACAAATAATTAACAAATAAATAATAGATTCGACATTAATAAAAGTCACTATATACTAGGGACATTTACAGGCGGCCATTTTGGATAATCAACACGCGCATATAGTAACTTTTATGCGTTACAAAATAAATTATGTTTTCGATGAAGAAGTAAATATTTAATAGATGATAATACAAATGGAAGATTGTAACGAGGAAAGAATAAATAATAATTAATACAATATAACACATTATTATATGGTAATAGGAATATTAGAAATTAATAGAAATCAGCCATGAGAAACAAACCATGAAATAACATGTTAAACTTACTATTATGACAAGAAAAAATAATATTTTATTGAAAGAAACAAGAAATAACGCATAAGAAGACTCGGCAAACACTAAATTGCCACGCGCCTTGAACGCTTCACTGGCATCAGCAAGAAAGTTACCAGATACATCGCAGATGCAACTTCAGCAAGGATAAGTTGCCACGCGCTTCTGTCACGTAAAATTGATACTTGGGTTGTAAGAGAAAAGAAAGAATAGAATAACGCTGAACCGAAAAAGGGGTGTTGTACAAGAACAGCAACTAGAACAAGAACTCCTTGAGCTGGGTGAAGGCTCAGCTTATATACGTTTTGGTTTGAGGATGTTGAGGGGCTCGGTGTAGGTTATGATGTGGAAAAGTGTCCGAAGGTCGGTGGTCGGTGCCTTATCTATGATGTGGACTAAGGTGTGTCATAGCTTCTGTGTAGGCAATGATGATAAGGTGGTGATGTGTCCAAAGGAGTCCGAAGCTCGGTCGATGTCTTATCTCTGATGTAGGTTGAGATGTGATTGATGTCACATACCTACCTCCGTAGATGGATTTTGGTCCTCAAAAATCTTAGTTTTTTCTTCAAGATTGTTTGATGGACACTAATTGGTTAAAAGTGTACTTTTCTTCTCTGTCTTGATCCTTTATGAGAGAAAAAAAAATTTTATCGGTTCATGAAAAAATTTGTCACGCACATACACGCATACATACACATACAAATTCCGTTCTCTCTGGTACATACAACTAGAAAATATATAACACAGCTACTTATATGCGTACAAGTAACCGATTTTACAGGAAATATACAGGAGGTGATCGGTGATATTTCACACTTACGTTCCTTTTAGGACTTAAGTGTACATAATGCCTGGTTTTGTACTCGTTGGAAGGTGTCTTTTCAATTCATTACTGAATCGATATACATTAGATAGAATAATAAACTCAATCTACAAAAATACTAGAGAAACCGTGATCATTACAAAATTATAAACAAATTTATGAGTTGAAACATGTTGAGGTTATTCGATGTGTAAACGGAGAAAACACGTGGATAAATTATAAGGCAGAAAATATATTTAAATAGAAGTGTAATTATAAGTAAGAATACAATTTGAGCTGGTCCAGATCCGCACGCTAGCGTGTTACCCAATAACTGAAAAACACTGAAGCCAACGTCGCCTGTCTACTGTTTATAGCCTGTGTTCGTCGCAGTCTTTTGTCTACACACCGTCGATGGCTCCAGTGCTAGAGATAACTAAAAGAAGCCTGATGTAGAGTTTTCTTAGAAGTGGTGACAACTTCAACACATAGCAAAAACTAGCTGATGTGCTCTGCATTTGGCAGCAAATGTGGAACATAACGCGCATTTAAATGTCGACATATCACCAATAGCAGCGGAAATATGTTTAATTGAATACTTAAGCCTAAATATGCTAAACTGCAAATTACGCTAGATTTGACAGGGCACAGAGTAGACATAGCATAAACCGGCTGATGTGCGCTTTATTTAGCAGCAAATGTGGAGTATAATGCGCATCGAATTGTGGGCATATCACCAATAGCAGAGGAGCTACATTCAATTGAATATTCAAGCCTGAATATGCAGTACCGCAATAACATTGGATTTGACCTCGACCCGAATTGACAAAATGTAAACAGGAGCAGATCTGCTGCATTTGGAAGCAAATGTGGAGTATAACGCACGTCGAATTGTCGAGATATCACCCATAGCAGTGTAGACACGTTCAATTGAATATTAAAGCCTGAATATGCAGTACTGGAATAACATTGGATTTGACCTCGACCCGAGTTGATATAATATGAACTTGAGCAGGTACGCTGTATTGGACAGCAAACATGGAGTATAACGCGCATCGAATTGTCGACATATCAACAATGGAAACGGAGATACGTTCAATGAAATATTGAAGCCTGAATATGCAGTCCTGCAAAAACATTGGATTTGACCTCGACCCGAGTTGACATAATGTAAACGGGAGCAGGTCCGCTCTATTTGGCAGGAAATGTGGAATGCAATGCGCATCGAATTGTCGATCAATAGCAGCGGTGATACGTTTAATTGAATACGGCAGCCTAAATATGCAAAACTGCATTTGACAGCAAATGTGGAGTATAACGGGCATCGAATTGCCGAGATATCTTGAATAGAAACTGAGATACGTTTAATTGAATATATCAGGCAGATTCTCCAAAACTGCAATAATGCTGTATTTGACAGTGCCTAGACTTGATATAGCGCAAATAGGCTGATCTACGCCGATTTATTTATTAATATTCAATTGAACGTATCTCCATTTCCACTGGAGATATGTCGACAATTCGATGCGCGTTATACTCCACATTTGGTGCCAAATGCAGTGCACTTCAGCCGTCTTGCGCTATGTCAACTCTGGTCTATCGCCAATTCACTGTAATTGCAGTACTGCATATTCAGGTTTCAATATTCAATTGAACGTATCCCCACTGCTATAGGTGATATGTCCACAATTCGATGCGCATTATAGTCCACATTTGATGTTAAATACAGCGCACATCAGCCGGTTTGCGCTATGTCTACTCTGTGCCCTGTAAAATCTAGCGTAATTGCAATTTTGCAGATTCTGTCTTAAATATTCAATTGAAAGTATCTCCGTTTCCATTGGAGATATGTCGACAATTTGATGCGCGCTCTACTCCACATTTGCTGCCAAATAAAGCGCGCATCAGCCGGTTTTTACAATGTCAACCCTGGTCCCCGCCAAATCCTTTGTAATTGCAGTTTTGCATATTTAGGGTTCAGTATTCAGTTAAACCTATCTACGCTGCTATTGGTGATATGTCGCCAATTCGATGGGTGTGTTAATTCGACCAATCGCAGGGAGACGTAGTCGCGAGGAGAGACGTCAACGGGAATAGTAAATTCCCGTTACGATTATAACAATCCACACCACGAATTGATCGATCCTCTGATTTCCGTTGAGATAATAGGGGTGATTGAGTTTGTATAACAAATGTATAACAAATGAATTGTGTGATTCACAGAATTATAAATAATATATTTCCAACACTTAGATTACACTGTTGAACATAGATAAATAGATAATCACTTATTGCATGAGGATAAGATAGATATGTACGTTAGAGCAGGGCTCTTATAATTGGATTTAATGTATTAGTGGACGTAGCACTATAAGATATTTAGTAGAGGAAATGTATGTTCGACAATACCGAGAACCGACTCTCGCGTTATGCTTAGACTGCTGTGTTAGGCGTTAGCTTTAGACTTAGTAGTTGACTTTTTCAACGATGTAGAAGAAGAAGTTGAGTGACGATGCTGTGTCGGAGGAAAGCTAGTGATGGGTGTGTCTAGCGCACGGGACCATCGGATTTGTTCATGCCATTTTAGGTCAGG